TACACTTATTTATATTATAATCTGTGTGTGTGTGTGCGCGTGCACATGTGTGCATCTGTGTGTGGAGGTAAGTCTCTCTTGTCTTGCCTTCTGAAACAAGGTCTCTAAATGGCAGTCAGTGATTAGATTAGGTTTATTGGCCGGGGATCTGCTTGTTTCTGCTTCTCTAGTGTTGGGAATATAAGCATATACCACTATTCCTGACTTTTTTGCATGGGTTCTAGGTATCCAGTTCAGGTTTGCATAGCAAATACTTGACCACCTGAACTGTCTCCCAACCTCTACATAGTTGTTAATAACATATCTAATGTTAAACATTTAAGTATTAGTATCAAAATTTGAATCTAGAGGTCTGAATTCAAAGTTTGTTCATCCTGTTGATCACATTGTATTGTAAATGTTTATATTTTCGTCTTTCAGAAAGAGACTTGGGTACTAGAGAGATGGCCCAGCAGTTAAGAACACTTGCTGCTTTTTCAAAGGACCTGAGTTCAGTTTCTGGGATCCACAGCAGGCTGCTTACACACTATGTGTAACTCCAGTTCCAAGGGATCTGACACCCTCACACAGCTACGCATGAGGGCAAAACACAGATAAATATAAAATAATAAATAAGCAAAAACAGAAATAACAACTAAGTGTGTATCTGTCTAACAAAGTATATATCTCTCCCAGCTGGAGAAGGAAAATACTCTCTGGGAATGTAAAAGTATCTTAACTCCATGTATCCCACCTGGATATACCATTCAGGGCAAATGGAGTAGGAAAAACTTGATTTTTTTCCCCCCAAGACCTTTCTACAACTGTTGCTGATCCAGTAAATGTAGACTGTCAGTTTTGTGAACTACAAACCTTGGAGCCAGACTTTTTCATATTTTAATTTTTTCCAAGAGTCTCATTCTGTGCCCTAAACTGGTTTTAAGCTGGAGATCTTTCTCCCTGAGCCCATTGAGTGATAGCATTACAGGCATGTTCTATCATCTTAATGCGTCTCTCTGTAATCTTATGTCTGATATTATTAGGAGCAGTTTTAAATTTTTAAAAAAATTTCTTTAATATGTATGAGTATTTTGCCTACATGTAAGTCTGAGAACCACGAGTGTACCTGGTACCTGAAGAAGGTGTCAGATTGTTTGGAACTGGACTTGTAGGTGATTATGAACCTCCATGTGGGTGCTAGGAATTGAACCTGGATTTTCTGGAAGAGCAACCAGTGCTCTTAACTGCTGAGCCAACTCTCAGCCCCAGGAGTAGGTTTTTTTGTTTTTGTTTTTTCTTTTTTTTTCATTTTTAAATTTTATTAAAAAACTTTTCTAACATATATCCCGACCAGTTTCCCCTCTCTCCCCTCTACTGAATTTTCCCACCTCACCTCCCTCCTCCCCCAGGAGTATTTTTTTTTTTGAGACAGGGTCTTGGTATGTAACACAGGCAGGCTCAGTTGAACTCATAACCCTTCCATCATCCGAATGCTGGTATTGTAGGCATGTATCACCATCCTGACTTTTTTTGGTTTTGTTTTGTTTTGTGAGAAAGGGTTCAGACTGGCCTCCAATTTAGAGAGATCTGCCTGCCTCTGCCTCTCAAGCGCTAGGATTAAAGGTGTGTACCACCACCGCCTGGCAGTTTTTAAATATTTTGAAAAGAATCTCATGTAACTGAGGCTAATCTTGATCTTCCAGGGTTTCTGTCTTTGCCTCCTTAGTGCTAGGATTATAGGTTTGTACCACCTTGGGCCCCTGGTTGTTTCTACTATTTTTTTCCTTCAGTGCTGGGGATCAAACTCAGACTCATTAGCATTCTGGCTAAGCACTTTATCATTGAGCTACAGCCTAGCCTTTGACGTTTCTTAAAATTTTGTATGTATGAGTATTTAACCTGCATGTCTGTGTATGTATCTTCTGCAAGCCTGGTGCCCAGGGAGATCAAAATGGGTGTGGCATCCCTGAGAAGGGAGATAGAGGTGTTGGGAGCGGCCATGTCGGGGAGTGCTGAGATTCAAACCTGGGGGGTCTCAAGCAACAGGTGCTCCTAACTGCTCAGCCGCCTGTCTCTCCAGCCCTAGAACCTGTTTGTTTGTTTTAAGGCAACTCTCTGTATAGCTCAGGTTGGCCTCTAGTTACTCAGGTTAAAGAGGTGTATTGCCATCCTCCGCAGTTTCTGACAGGTCTGAAGTTAATTTTATTGAACAACAGTAGAACTTTTGAACAAAGCAAAAGTTACTAGGTAGTTGTGGGGGCTCATTGTGAAAGCAGTGCTTACTTATTCCTAAGCTGGAAATGTGCATAGACAGCTGGCATGACTGTACGATCCTGTAGTGCCAACATTACCTACAAGTAGGCCGGAAGATTGGGAGTTCCAGGCCATCATGGACATAAAAAACAAAACGAAACTTTTTAAAGTAGGAACCTAAATATTTGCCCTGTGAGCAAGAGAGATCCCACCTTTTTCTGAATGAGAAGACTCTTCTTTGCCGTTAGTCCCAAAGCCCAGACTAATACTTAGATCAGCCACGTTGGTAGGATGTAGTGGTGCATGCTTTTAATCTCAGCACTGAGGAGACAAAAACAGGACAGTCCCTGAGTTCCAGGTCATCCAGAGCTACACAGTGATAAACTGTCTCAAACACCAACAACAATAGAAAAACAAACAAAACCACAACCTCATTATGGGTTAAATAGACGTTTTTAGTTTCTTTTGAAACAGGATTTTGCTGTGTATCCCAGGCAGGCCTTGGACGCCCAGCAGTCTTCTTGGTTCAGCCTCTGAGTACATTTTATAAACTATTCAATATAGTGATATAAAATCTCTTTAAACAGTTCGGTGGACGGAATAGTCTTGGATTGGGACTAGAGAGATGGCTTAGAGACCAGGCATTTGCTGCTCTTAAAGAGGGCCTGGCATTTTACAACCCTCTAGAACTCCAGGGGATCTGATGCTCTCTTCTGGCCTCAGCGTGCACTGCATCCATGTGTGTGGTACGCTTACACGCCCGCAAAACACTCATACACATAGCATAAAAATAAATCCTAAAAAATAGCCTTAAATATCTGTATTATTCACTATTTAAAGAATCATCATAAAGCAGGATATGTATTTTTATTCTTACTAAATTAATTATGATTATATTTTTCTTGGTATTTGCTAAAGCAAACCTTTGACTGTCTAGGAAAAAGTGAAGAAAGCTTAATTAAACTGCTGCTGAATAATTGAGAGAGTTTTAGTGACTTAGCAGATGAAAGCCACCCTCTTTCAGAATGTCTGGTTGGAAGTACACAGTGGAGAAAGCATGAGTTTCCGTAACTGCTGTCGTTCTTGCTGGTCTCTTCCAGTATTCCTTCTTCCATTTTGTTGGGGCCAGTTAGTTTCTGTCTGAAGCTGTTTTAGTTTTCCTACAGAAGTCAGACTTAATCGTAATTACAATCTGTGCTTTTAAGAATTCAAATTATTTATTTATTTATTTATTGTTTTTCTTTCTTTTTTTTTTTTTTGAGACAGGGTTTCTCTGTAGCTCTGTCTTGGAACTCGCTCTGTAGACCAGGCTGGCCTTGAACTCACAGAGATCCGCCTGTCTCTGCCTCCCTAGTGCTGGAATTAAAGGTGTACACCACCCTAAAATTTTATATGTATTGATGTTTTACCTGCCCTGTGCTTACAGGCAAGGTGTGGGGCCAGCTCTCCTGAAACCACAGATATTAACATGGCTTTAGGCAACAGTCCAGACCACAGATGTCCCAGTGAGCTTTGGTTGTAACATGGGCAGCAGTGTACTTTGAGCATTCTTAGCAGACTCTGAACTATCTGCTTATCAGTGACAACTGTTTCCTGATTGAAAATGGGGAACAAAATATTCATGTGTGCAGTTTTTCTTTGCAGGTCATTTGCATGGTGACAGTAATGATGGGATTCAATTGTATTTTTTAATAGAGTAGCTCCTGATCAATAAAAAATTTGAAGAAATAAAATAAGAAATAAAAAAGAATATACTTTTAAATGTATTTAATTAAAATATAATCATATCAACTGGGCAGTGGTAGCGCATGCCTTTAATCATAGCACTCGGGAGGCAGAGGCAAGCAGAGCTCCAGGCCAGCCTGGTCTATAGAACGATTTCCAGAACAGCCAAGTCTATGCAGAGAGGCCTTGTCTCAAAACTCTCGCCCCCAAAAGATTATTTCTTCCCTCTTCTCTCCAACTTCTCTCATGTTCTGCCTCCCTCCTATCAAATCCATGGTTTCTTTAGTTATTATTCTTACACATATGTGTGAAAAAAATGCATGATGCAATCTGTTGAGTACAGTTAGTGTTGCTTTTGTGTAATGTGTTTTGAGGGGTGAGCACTTGGGACTGGATCACTCACCCTAGGGCAGACTAGTTCTCCCTCTCTCAGCAGCTATTAACGGCCTGTATTTTCTCATCTAAGGATGGGGTCTGGAGAGATTACCCTCATCCACGGCCTGCCAGCTGGTGTCATTGTTAGGTTTTGTTAGGGCAACTATTTATAGTTGAGTATCATGGATGTAGCTTCCCTGTCATTTCTAGACACAGCCTTCAGCAGATTTCCTGCTTTTCTCTTTCCATTCCATCTTCCACAATGATCCCCAAGCCTTAAGTGTAGGGGCTGTGTTGTAGATGTATTGGTGTGGGCTGGGCACCCCGGTCAGTAGTTCTCTGCATTTGGATCAGTTGTGGCTTTCTATAATAATCTCGATGAAAAAGACACTTTCATGAGGGATTAGTGCTATGCTTATGTCTCTGTGCCATGTGGGCAGGCTAAAGTGTCAGGGATCAGTGAGTCCCAGAGAGAGGAGAGGGGGCCGAGAGAGAAAGCATACTTACCAACTAAGATGATCAGATTGTAAGGTTAAGTTTTTTTCAGAAAATGGTGCTTTTCATTAGCTAAAACTAGTTTTGCAGAAATTGAAAACACACATATGTCACTTACACAGTTTTTACTGATATTATTGAAATAGTAAATGTGTTTGTATTTTTCCTTCTAGATTCTGGAAGAAGACATGACTGTCTGCAATGATACATCCTGACAAGAAGTTAATACCAGAGAAGGAAAAGAAATCAACAGCTAGTGAACAGAATTTTAAACAACCAGGATTTTGCATTTGTTACTTCTAACTACAGACTTATATTGCCTACTTTTAAATTATCAGGATTCCCAGAATTTGGACAAGATATTTTCTTCTGTATTTTTTTTTTTTTTGACATTGAGAAAACTGCAATGTCTAGGAAACAAAGCCAGAAGGGTAAGATCACATATGTGCATAAATTGTTGGAATAGTTTTTGCCACCTGGGAAATGTGTGTAGTTAGTGGTAGAGAGCTTCCCGGCATGCACAGGACCCTGGGGTGGGGAATAAAGCTCACGCGCTTAGTGGCATGCATGAGGTCAGCCTGGATTTGATCCCCAAGAACTGCAGAACTTAAAACCAAAGCATGGTTGTAGACCAACAATGCTTACTTTCGTCTGTATGTTTTACAACTATTCCTTTAGTAAATATTCTGAATGGTTTTGCAAGGATTGTGTTAGGTTTTAGTTTTGTGTATAAGTCTGAGAATTGATCTTACTAGAACTTGGTTTTTTTTTTTTTTGTTTTTTTTTTGGAATTTCGAGACAGGGTTTCTCCATAGCTTTGGAACTAGTAGAACTTGTTTTTCTACTCAGACAGATTTATCCAATTGCAATAGATTTGTTAGCGAGCGGGACGTATCCTGATGGCGCACTTTTGTAGAGTGGCATTTGTTAGGGAGATGCAATAGAGGCTAGCTTCCTGCAGGATGCTTCATATTCCAAGGGACAGGAAATGGAGCAAGAGTGAACACTTCCAGGCTTTGTTTCCTTCTTTAGCTTTCTTTCCGTGTTAGCTACCCTGGCAGAATGGAAGATACAGACATGAAATATCAAAAGAGGTTATAGTGAGGGGAAGCAAAACAGAGGCTGTGTAGAACCCTTTCCAAGTGTGCTGGAATAGCAAGTGTAGCAGCAGCTGAGCCACTGCACAGGATTCATTCAGAGAGTGACCTTCTCTTGTTCATTTTCATTTTTAATATGGTCTTTAATTCAAAACAGAATTTCATAGATTGAGGTCTTCACAGATTCAATGTGGTGGAAATGCTTTTAATTTAGATTAGAAAGTTCAAAAACCTCAAAAGATAATAAGCCACGATTACTTATAGTTTTGAAAACTAATTTCATTGTAGTATTAGCAGAAGAGAAGATTATCTCTCGCATACTAAAGTTGGTGCTGTCTTCAGTTTTGAAGTTTGGGAGTATTCTAGGGATCAGCTAGCAGTTCTGTGACAGTGGCCTGCCTGCCTGCCTGCCTGCCTTTCTCTTCAGACAGGGCCTATGTAGCCTAGGCTGTCCTAGAACTCTCTTTCTGTAGACCAGGCTGGCCTCTAACTGAGAGATCTGCTTGACTCTGCCTCACTTGCGCCACTACCTGGCAACAACAGGCTTTCTTCCTTGCACTTATGTTTGTGCAGTAGGACCAGCTCCTACACTTTCCAGTGTCCGTGGGAAGAAAGAAGCAGCACCACTTACTTTTTTTTTTTTTGAGACAGGGTTTTTCTGTGTATCTCTGACTGTCCTGGAACTTGCTTTGTAGATCAGGCTGGGCTTGAGCTCACAGAGTTCTACCTGCTTCTGCTACCCAAGTGCTGGGATTAAAGGTGTGCACCACCATCACCCAGCCTTTCACTTTAAGCTTTAAATTATTCTTAAACTGTTAGAGAAAAAGGAAAGTCTAAGGCTCCTTCATAAGGAAAGAGCTAAGTTATAACCTCATTTGCCACTGTATTTGTTTTTGGCAACCTCCTGACCCATCTTTTAGGAACTACCATGTAGATACCTATAGTGAGGAGGCGAGCAGGCCTGCTTTTCATCCTGCCTGGCTTCCGCATGGCTAGCTTAGCCCCGGAAATAACAACACACAAACTGTATTCATTGAAACACTGCCTGGCCCATTAGTTCTATCCTCTTAATGGCTAACTCTCACATTTTGATTAACCCATTTCTATTAATGTGTGTAGCACCACGAGGGTGGCTTACCAGGAAGATTCTAACTTGCGTCCATCTCGGAGAGAGCTATGGCATCTGACTCACTTCCCTTCTTTCCAGCATTCTCTTCTGTCTACTCTGCCTATCTAAGCTGCTGTCCTATCAAAGGCCAAGGCAGTCTCTTTATTTGACCAATGAAAGTAACACATAGACAAAATACCCACCTTTACCTTTCTGCTTTGTCCCTTTATTCATAATATGTCCTCAGTCCCTTGCTCCTTTCCTTTCTACCCCTCCCTTCCACCTCTTCTTTCCCTCTTTCCTTCCTTCCTTTACTTCTATCTGTCCCTTCCCCCTTTCCTTTCTTCCACTTATTCTCCCTCCTTCCCTCCCCTTCCCTTCTTTCCTATTCCCCTCTTTCCTCCCTTCTTCTCTTTCTCCTCCTCCCCTCCCCTCCCCTCCTTCTTCCCTTCTATCAATCTTGTAATCCAGTGCTAGGTAGACAGAGATCCTCACTGTCCAGCCGACCTAGTCTAGTTGTAAGCCTAGACCGGTGGTGAGAGGTAATGTCTGAGAAATGGTCACTTTGATTGCCACATGCCAGCTGTGTTCAGTTCATGCAATAGCCACTTTTCCAAGAGCTTATATTTGCTCAAGCATTCATTTCAGCTTTAAAAATACTTGTATCTGTTTGTTTGCATATTTATTTATTTTGTGTGTGAGGACATGTGCATACACAGCTTCCTGTGGAGCTCAGAGGATAACTTGGTAGGAGTCGACTTTCTTCTTCTGTTTGAGTCCCAGGGATCCAACTCAGGTCATCAGGCTTGACAGTGAGGCCTTTACCTGTGTAATCATCTTGTGGGCTCTTGAGTTAACCTTTTAATTTTTAAAAGGACGTTGAATAAAAGAATAAAGATGACTAAAAGTAGTTGAGTTTCTAGACTTCCTTATCTCTAACTTTACCCTTTTAATTGGATCTTACCTTTTCTTGCCTTCCTTTGGCCCTGGTAAAATGTTAGCCATATTGTTCCTCATCTTGCTGTGCATCTGTGTATAACAGTGAGTAGCCAACAGCTGTGATCTGCCAAGGAGCTGTCAGAGTAATGGACCCTTAAGAAGTAGAGTATCCAGTGCGTAGCAGCAGCCGTGTTGTCTGACAACTCGGACTCCCCTTGATTCTCCAGGAGAACTAAGGGTGTTACTCTGGACAAGGGATAATACTGCAACTGACTTCCTCGTTTTTCCATCAGTGAAAAATTTAACAAGCTTCAGAATGGGAGTATAGCTCAGTGGTAGAGCTTTTACCTAGCGTGTAGGAAGCCTTGAGCTCATTGCCCAGAATTGCAGAATATGGGGAGGGATTCTCAGAGTTTATAATCCCAATTTCACCTTACTTTGTCAAGGAAATAATTTGTCATTGTCTGTATTCTTCGGACATGGTGTAAGCAGTCTAAATAATAGATGCAAATTTAGTAGCTTTCTGAGAACCTCTCAACTTACTTCATACCTGAGCAGATCTGTACACTTGAGTTTGCTGTAAGCAGTCTAGAGTTGGGGGTGGGCAGGGCTTTGATGATGAGAAATCTGTTAATCAAATTCCCTTCAGTACTTCAGAGAGCCTCTGTATATTTATAATGTTAGCTTTGGCTAACTTTTTGGGGTAGGGTCTAGGGTGGTGGGGCTTTTAGTAATCTCTACTCCATAAGTGCTGTTGTGGGAGTCCATTGCATGATTTATTATTATTATTATTATTATTGTTTATTTTGAGACAGGTTCTCACTGTGTAGCCCTGGCTGGCCTGGAACTCACTGTGTGAATCAAAATGGCTTCAAACTTAGAGCGATCCACTTACCTCTACCTCTCAAGCTCTGGATTAAAAATGTGCATTGCCAAGCCTGGCTGTTGTATGGTTTTAGTTATATGCAGTTTGATAAGCTAATTCTTAGTTGCTGTCGTATTAATATACTTTTTGTCTTTTTTTTTTTTTTTTAAAGACAAGTTCTCACTGTGTAGCCCTGTCTGGCCCAGAACTTGCTCTGTAGACCAGTCTGGTCTGGATCTCACAAAAATCTGCCTGCCTCTGCCTACAAAGTGCTGGAATCAAAGGTGTGCACTATCATTCCCGATCAGAGTCAGGGTCTTCTGTTGGTCTGTAGCTCACTGGAGGATAAATTGGCTGGCTGACCGCAAGCTCCAGGGATCTGCTTGTCTCTGCCTCCCGTGGGCTGAATTACAAACACAAACATGCTTGAATTTTTTTTTTTAAATTGGTTGGGAATTAGAGAGTTGGCTTAGTGGTTAAGAGCACTGACTGTTTTTCAGAGGACCCAGGTTCAAGTTCAGCATCCACATGGCAGCTCACAACTGTGTGACTCTAGTTGCAGGGAATCCAACACACTCTTCTGACTTCAGCGTTGAGCCACCTCCCTAGTCCCCTATCTCTTTAGGACCGGGGGCAGGGATGAGTACTACATTTATTAGCCAAGGGGTAGGGTACTAGGATCTTCTTAAATAAACATATACATATATGTGGTTTTGTTGTTGTTGTTTTCTTTTTAGGTTTTTTGAGACAGGGTTTCTGTGTAACAGCTAGCTGTCCTGGAACTAGCTCTGTAGACCAGGCTGGCCTCAAACTCACAGAGATCTTCTTGCCTCTGCCTCCCGAATGCTGGGATTAAAGCCACCATGCCCAGCAAGACCCTATTTTTTAACTATTCTAATTTTATTAATCTGAGTTTGTTCCCTTTCATTCCTCCTCCTTTCTTCCTTTCCTTCATTCACCCATCTAGTCATGAGATTACAGACATGCTTTACTACACCCAATTTGTTTTGTATGTTAGTTTTATGTTAATTGGCATGCTGGATAAATTCAAATAATATGGAGATTAATTTTGGGAGCTGAGTGGAGAGCTGCCATTTGTTGTCTCTGTAGTTTGTGTTTGCTGGTGTGTTGTGAGGGGAATAATTAAAAGGCTGGTAGGCATCCTTCTCTAATAGAAACTATAAGTTGCTGTTTTAATCCGACTGTCCCCTCTTCTAAAGGAGATCGGTGGTTTGAGTCTCTAACTGTAAGTAGATAGATGATTGATGTCTCTGTACCATCCCCCTGCTCATTGGTAGTTCTTCAGTGGAGCGAGGGAGCTCACTGCAGCATTCAGATGATATCATTTGACTGCTCTGTGCTCTCAGGAGGTCTGGACGATAGTGCTGTGCTGTCTAGGGTCTTCCTCTTTCTCAGCGCACATCTCTTCCAATTGATAAAGATAATTGAGAACTACCCATGTTCTGTACTCCTCTGGAAGACGTACACATGGTGAGTTTGTCTAAGTGCCTCCTGGTCCTTTTGTGTTAACAGAGGCTAGAGCTCAATGAATTCACAATTCATTGTAACTGGCAAACGTAATTTCTCTTAAATGACGTGGGTTGTATTCGTGTCGTCTTTCACACTTGGACGCATCTTACTTACCGTAACATAAAACTTGGATCTTTCATAGCAACCAGGAGTTATCTGAAAAGAAGATAAAAGTTAAACTCTAAACCAAACTTTATTATTATTATTATTATTATTATTATTATTATTATTATTATTATTATTTTGTATTTTCAAGACAGGGTTTCTCCGTAGCTTTTGGTTCCTGTTCTGGAACTAGCTCTTGTAGACCAGGCTGGCCTCGAACTCACAGAGATCCGCCTGCCTCTGCCTCCCAAGTGCTGGGATTAAAGGCGTGCGCCACCACCGCCCGGCTAAACCAAACTTTAATTAAAAGTTCTAGTAGCTACTTGCTGACCCCCAATTTTCCAAGACTCCATTTCTAGGGGATCCAGTGCTCCCTCTGGCATCTGCAGGTACCAGGCACATGTGGTGCACATGTATACATGCAGGCAAACACTCTCTGAGACAGAGTCTCACTATGTACCTCTAGTTATCCTGGAACTTATTGTACAGCCCAGGCTGGCCTTGAACTCACCAAAATCCACCTGCTTCTGCCTCCTAAATGCTGGGATTAAAAGTGTGTGCCTCCATACCTGGCAAAAATAAATAAATCTTTTAAAAAATAAAATTTGATTTTATGACTAACTCAAAATGTAGTTATATATGAGCTGTGTATATAATGGGATTTTCTAAGTCGTAACTAAACTATTAGTAATTACATGGGGGAAGGTAGCTATTCTTGATTTTTTTTGTCTTGGATGAATACAGCACATAGAGTATATCAGGTTTTTTTTATATTCTTTTAGATTCTTCAGGATTCATTTTTGATTTGCAGTCCAATACCGTATTTGCCCAGGGAGGAACTTTTGAGAACATGAAAGAGAAGGTAAGATTAATTACTATGGATATTAAATTTGAATACCATAGGAAAATTTGTTAATATAAGCAGTGACTATCACAAATGCATTATGAATATGAAATCTGCCCTGGTGTAGTGGCACATGCCTGTAATTCCAGGAGGCAGAGGCAGATGGATTTCTGTGAAGCCAGAAATCTAGTCTCCATAGTAAGTTCCAGGCCAGTCAGGGTTACATAGTGATATTGGTCTCAAAAAAAAATAAATAAATAAAAGGAAAAAAGAAAATGAGCTAGGTGGTGGTGGCGCCGTCAGAATTCTACTAGTTACACAGAAGACATGGCTTTTCATTGTTTTAGGTACTAGGACTCAACAGCAGACAAACATAAAACTGTGGTCTAGGATTGGGGCTCCAGTGAGTGTGTGCCTAGCATGGGAAACCTCTAGCACTGCAAAAACAAAAGCTAACCAACAAAAAAAGTTCTAATTACCCATTAACAGGAGAATGAATAAATTAGATATATTATACAATAGGAATGCTGTGTACAATGTGTGTGTTAAAATATATGAATAACAAACATGCTTATCAATATGAAGAAAATAATGTGTGGCAAAAAACTAAAAAAGATATGCCATGATGAAATAATACTTATATAAAATAGTATATATTATTTATGGAAATATACATATACTGCATGAAAATACAAATATATTAAAATTAAATCAAATTTTGGAATAGGAATTCCTGGTGAAACAGGATGTAGGAGATGTCCAGTGGACTTTATTTGCATTTGTTTTATTTTATTAAGCTGGATTATTGCTAGTGCATTATGTTTTATGCACCTAAAATAGCCTATACTAATTCAGACGATCTCTGTCAGTTATCTCTGTAACAAGTGTTCTGAATAGTACTGTATACAAATCTAAGTTGTTGGGCTGGAAAAATTTTGACTCAGTGGTGAGAGCACTTGCTGTGCAAGCATGAGGACTTGAATTTGGATCCACAGAACCCACACACAGACCTGCATGTAGCTGTGACCCCAGCACGATGGGAGGAATAGATAGGAGGACCCCTGGAGCCTGCTGGCTGCCAGCCGCACTCCAGGTGAGAGACTCTGCCTCAAGGGAATGAAGTGGAGAGTTATAGAATGGAAGAGCCAGTGCCCTCTGGCTTTTACAGTGTGCATGGGGACTTGTACTCACACACATATGTTCCTGTATATCAGACTCATACATGCATGACACACAGACATTTAAAAAACAAAAACCTAAGCTGTTAGGGTTAATGGTTCATTAAATTTTCTACTTAATCTATAGTTTGCTTACAGTGAAGAGCCACTGATGGTAAATTAATAGCTGGCACCTAAATGAAACTACATTTGTGTGACACCATATCTTAATTGCCTACTCTTTCTTGGCATATAATCTTGTGCATACCATCTAATTTTTTGTTTTTGTTTTTGTTTTTTTGAGACATGGAACTCACTAAGTAGACCAGACTGGCCTTGAACTTACAGAGATCTGCCAGGCTCCTGAGTGCAGGGAGTTAAGCCCATACTCAGCACCTTCTAACTTTAAAAATATAAATTAATATTATTATTTGTGTGTGGGAGAGAGTGTGTTGGTGTGTACATGCAGATGTATAAGGACCTTGTAGCTTGTGTGGCGGTGTCAGTTTTCTGCCTTCACCGTGGGTTCTAGAGACTGAGCTCAGATCCTCGGGTCACTGTAAATGCTTTTATTCACTGGCCATCTCAGTGGTACCCTTTTATTTCTATAAATGTTCTGCCTTTTTGAAATTTGAAATTAAGTTTTCGTGTGGCGTTATCATTTTTCTCTTTATTATTCCCAGTGTGATGGTTGTGTGTGTCCTTACTGACATTAAAGAGTGATAAAACTGCTGAAAGGAAAATGACGCTGTGTTCTCCCTGATACACTGCAGCTGGCCAGTGACCTACTCGTGTTAGAATTACACAGCTCTGTCATCTTTTCCAGATAAGCGCAGTGCGTGCAATAGTTCCTAATAGGAGCAACAATGAAATCATCCTGGTTTTGCAGCACTTTGATAATTGTGTGGACAAAACAGTTCAAGCATTCATGGAAGGTAATCCTATCTCAAGTTTAGACTTTTGGTACCTGAACCATAGCTCACAGTCTGCTGTGTACTGTGATATTTTGTTAATGTGAGATACTCTTTTCATTCCCAAGCTATAGAAAAACTATAGAAAAAGACAAACTAAGAAAACTCCTTTATTATTAAAAGTTTTATCTACTAGTGTTTAAGAAATCAGACCAAGTGTGGTGGCACATTGTTGCAATCCCAGTATTTGAGACATTGAGGCAACTATGACTTGAGGCCAGTCCTTGTTATATAGTGACTTCTAGGCCAGTCTCCCACTGTACAGTGAGACCCCATTTAAAAAAATTATGCCCCCCCCCTCCCCAAACGAACTCATGGTATAAGGGGCTTGAATGGAGCTGGATAAAGTAATTTAAGTGACTGTTACAAAGGAGTAACTCAGCAGCCAGGAACAGCTGACCAATTCAAGGACTCAGCATTTATTTTCAAACTCCATTATCATTTAGTTTGGTTCTGGCAGGTAACTCAAACATATGAGTTCAGTTTCCTTTTTTTTTTAAATATTTATTTATTTATTATGTATACTATATCCTGTCTGTGTGTTTGTCTGCAGGCCAGAAGAGGGCACCAGACCTCATTACAGATGGTTGTGAGCCACTATGTGGTTGCCAGGAATTGAACTCAGGACCTTGGGAAGAGAAGGCAATGCTCTTAACCACTTGTAGTAATAAAAGCGGCGGGCCTGCGTCCCCGGCACCTGGCTGCCCACATGACTAGCTCTAGTTTATGCCCTGAAATAATTACACCGAAACTGTATTCTTTTAAACACTGCTTGGCCCATTTCTATCTAGCCTCTTCTAGTCTAGCTCTCGCACCTGGACTAGCCCATTTCTAATAATCTGCTGTAGCCCACGAGCTGGCTTACCAGGAATGATCTTAACCTGCGTCTGCCTGGAGTGGGAGAATCATGGCGACTCCCTGACTCAGCTTCTTTCTCCCAGCCTTCTGTTCTGTTTACTCCTCCCACCTATGTTTTAACCTATGAGAGCCAAGCAGTTTCTTTATTGCTTAACCAATGAAATCAACAGATTGATATATGACACTCCCACATCAACCACTGAGCCATCTCTCCAGCCCGAGTTCAGTTTCCTTATGTTCTCTATATTAGATAGAAAACAATAATCTTGTTCAACTTCTTGAATTTATAGAGTTAAGTGCTTTTAAAATTCTTTCTGTATAACCTTACTTGAAGCTGTTTTGCCTTCAAGAAGAGTGGTGTCAGGTCAGGACTCCCCACTGCCCTTTCCTGGATTTGTGAATACAGGAGAAACAAGTCAAAGTCTACAGAGTTTTTCCTCCGTCATCATGTTTTCTTTATATTAGGGTTTGAGTCTGATGTAGGGTGCAGCTCTTCCCAAACACCACAGTCAAGATGGTCTGTAACATGGAGGGGGAAGACAGCATTCTTAGGGGAAGACTAGTCATCCTTGTGCTCAGACAAAGATATATAGAGAATCTTAAATGGCCAGGAGACCGCAGTAGGCCAGTGTAGCAGAAACATGACATGATTACTTCACTACTCTATCCAGCAATTATGAAACAGACTGACTCCTCCTTTACCGTGTGTGTGGCACAAGAGGAAATATATCTATCTCTCTGATTTCTTTTTCAGGCAGTGCCAGTGAAGTACTCAAGGAATGGATAGTAACAGGCAAGAAAAAGGTACAGATGAGTTATATGTAAGAGCATGATATTTATATTGTTTTGTTTCCTTATAAATTAGTCTTTAGGGGCTGGCAAGATGGCTTAGCAGGTAATAGCAGCCTACTACTCCGGCAGAGGAACTGGGTGCAGTTCCTGGCTCCACATAGCAGCTTACTATTTGTAACTCAAGGGGCAGAAGGTCTGGACCTCTTTAGACCTCCACAGGCATTAGGTGCACATATGTATAGGAGGACAAAGAACCCCACATAATTTTTAAAAAGAAAAAAGGCTTTAAAGAGTATTAGAGCTTCTTTGGAGGCTCCAGTAGAGGAGCATTGTGGGTGGAGGCGGGACACCTGTCTATCTACCCTGGTGATCACTGACGTCAGATTTCACAGCCAACTCCATACATCTCATAATATTTGAAAGAAAATGTTTCCATATGTTTGCCATCTGTTTACCATCTCAACAATGCCGTTTTGACATTGCGACACTGCTGTATTCCAGAGTTTGCCCCCTGTGGTTGGAGGCAGAAAGTATTAAATTTGCAGGTACAGTTGCTGGGGTTGCTCTAGACAAGAGGAGAAGCAAGCAAGCATGTCAGAAATACAGTGCCTCCAGGAAAGGCAACTGGCTTCCAGTCAGATTTGTTTCATAGACTAAACAGTTCATTTTCAGGTCAGACAACTGTGTCATGTTTCTAGTAGTAGTGGTTTTGACTTAAAGCCAAATGAGAGCTTTAGCTTCTTTAAAAACTTTATCCTTGTATCTGTATTTATTGTTTGTATGTTTGCATATATATGAGCTCACGGAGGCCAGAGGGTAGCTTTGTGGAGTGTGTTCTCTCCTTTCACCTCTAAGTGCTTTCTGTGGGTGGAACTCAAGTTGCCAGGTTTGATTGGCATGCTCACCTGCTGCCCATCTTACTAGCCCATATTTTGTTCCTTCAGGCTGCTTGCCTTCCTGGGACATCTGATGTTACATGTTAAAGAATAGAAAGCATTTGGGCTTCAGAGTCAGTCAGAACTGGGTTTCTGTCCTGTTCTGCCTCATCTGGTCTTGTGAGCTGCGGGTATTGTCTGACTTTAGTTTGCTCATCTATGAAGTAGAAGTATATAGATGTGATGGCTCTTACCAGTGGTCCCCACACTTAGGAGGATCGGGAGTTCAAGGCCATTCCCTGTCTGGGGGGGAAAAAGCCACAACAAAATTAAAATAATACTAAATACTAATACATACATATTCTCATTATAATGCCTAATACATTAGTTCTTAATCCCTTTACTTATATCCTTCTAAGACCCAAATTGCTTCCCTCCCGTGGTACACTAGCTGGGTTCTGAATTCTTCCCAAGGCTCTGTAACCCAGGAGTGCTGCCTTTAAAGAATGCTTAAGTGCCGATTTGAATTAAGTACCAACTCTTTTAGGAGCATTTTCCTTTAAGTTAGTGTTGTGTTCTGAAATGCTTTTTTTTTAAATTTCATTATTGTGTTGTGTGTGTGTGTAGGTGTATTCCTGCCATGGTGCAGAGAACAGCTTGGGGGAGTTGGGTTTCTCTTTCCAGCGTGGATTCCAGGGATTGGATTCAGGTGGTCAGGCTGTGTGAAAGATACTTTACTCACTGACAAGTCTTGCCAGCCCTGAAATGATTTCTTGACCAAGCCAGGTTTGGCTTTATTAACCTTTGTGAATTTTTTTCCCAGAGTCATGTTATGCTGTTCAGGTCCTCATGAAGCTTTCTGGGCCTGCTGCTCTTCATACTGTCTCACTGGCTTCACCCAGCATACATAGCTTTGAGTGCCCAAAACACCAGTGTCACGATTTATTGACCTCAAAACATAAATTATTAACAACACAAGCCATGTGCATAGTGTGTGTGTGTGTGTGTGTGTGTGTGCATGTGTGTGTGTGCGTGTGTGTGTGCGTGTGTGTGACATGAACTGGTGGAAGAAAATAGATGAATAGTCTGATACTCTCCAGTGCTTGAATCTGTAACACAACCCTTAAATTAGCCTAATAAGACATGAGTGTGTGCTGCTAATTACACATGTGTAATAACATGGGAGAAAGTAAGATAGAGGAGGAAACTGAATGCCAAGTTCAGGAGTTATTCTGCTGGACAAGGTCATCAGAAGGCCTGGCATGAGAACTGACTGGTTTACTCATCTAGTCTTAGGAGTAGAAACGCTCGATGTTGCCAGCATAGCTATCTGTTGCTAAAACAAAGATTTTTTTATTTACATGTTTTCGATTTCCAAGGTATAAATGTACCCTGTAATAGTTTTACCCTACCTCTTTTCCCCAGCCATTTGGTGCCCACTTTTCCACCAGGCAGACAGAATTATTAGTTTATTTATTTATTCATTAATTCATTTTTTGTTGTTTTTGGCATTGGAGATCAAACTTAGGGCCTTGTGCATGCTAGGCAAGTGCTTTACCACTGAGCTACAACCCCAATCTTATGTAGCTTCCAAGATACTTTATTCACATAAACAGTTGCAAATATGTATTTTCTTCTTCGCACATTCCATGTAATGGAGCCTGGAATGTCTCAGTCCCCTACTGACATACATTTGCATGATTTCTCTGTCCTCATTAATATAGCAGTGCTGCGATGAATAATCCTGTATACACTGACAGTGCTGGCCAGGATAGATTGCTGTTGTTAGAACTGCCGGTTGAAAGGTGTGTGCGTTTGTAGCTTTCAAAAGCACTACTAGGTTTCCACTCACCCTGATATTTATGAAAATGCCTGGCTATTTCCAGAGCAGTCCTAGCTGTCTGCAGAGTGGACCTTTGCTAATGTAGTAGTTGAAAGCCACACTGCAGCACAGGTTTCATTATTTGTCAGTTATTGTACTGAGGTATGCTTCATTAAATTACTTATAGATTATATTTTCTCTATTATTATTGTGGTTATTGTGGTTATTTAGAGCTCTGTTTATATTTCACTTTAAAAATATGTTACATTTTTTGCTGTTGCCTTTTACTTTTTTTTTTTTTTTTTAAATTTATTTATTTATTTATTATGTATACAATATTCTGTCTGTATGCCTGAAGGCCAGAAGAGGGCGCCAGACCTCTTTACAGATGGTTGTGAGCCACCATGTGGTTGCTGGGAATTGAACTCAGGACCTTTGGAAGAGCAGGCAATGCTCTTAACCACTGAGCCATCTCTCCAGCCCCGCCTTTTACTTTTTATAACTTCATTTTGCTTAAAGATAGGTTTTGCAGCGGATGGAGAGATGGCTCAGTGGTTAAGAGCACTTATAATGCTCTTCCAGAGGTCCTGGGTTCAATTCCCAGTACCCACATGGCAGCTAACAACTGTCATACCATTGCACATAAAATAAAAAGAAATAAAAATATGTTTTGCTATGAAAAGTATTTTATTTCAAGAGTTCATTCAAAATGCAGTTTTACATAGTAAAGTATTGTTTTTGTCATTAGTTCAACATAAACAAAATTGCTTCAGTTTTTAGAAGAATGTGTACAAAGTTGATAACACTGACTTCTTTTGTAGCTGGAATTAGTTACCTCTGAGTTGTATTGGAGGATCTGCTTTTTCCTTTCTTTTTTTTTTTTTCGAATCTTTGATAACCTTAGAACAAAAAGAAGAAAAGCAAACCAAAGCCTGCATCAGAAGCAAATAACAGTGTCCCAGACTCCAGTAAGTCAGTACCCATTAAAGAGGAACAACCTGCATCTTCAGAGAAAGGTGGCATCAATGGTTACCATGTTAACGGTGCCATCAATGATGCTGAGTCTGTGGACTCACTCAGTGAAGGGTTGGAGACACTTTCTATAGATGCCAGAGAATTGGAAGATCCTGAGTTTGCCACACCAGATACACTGGATAGAACTGGTGAGTTTTTGTTTTTATAAAGATTTTGGGAAGTTAATTTGTGCAAAAAAAAAAAAATAGGACGGTGAAGGGGTCTACTGGTTGAGACACTTATTATTACATTAAATATAATTGGTCACTGGGCCGTGGTGGCGCACACCTTTAATCCCAGCACTTGGCAGACAGATCTCTGTGAGTTCAAAGCCACCCTAGGCTACACAAGATCCAAAAACAGATTCAGGTGATGGTGGCTCACACCTTTAATCCCAGTACTAGGGAGGTGGAGACGAGTGTGATAATGGCTGGGCAGAAAGAGGAATATAAAGGGGAAGAGACAGGAACTCAGTGGAGTGTGGAGTCTGAGGATTCATGGAGACAGGCTCTCACCCTTTCAGTCTACAGAATTGATAGAGGTAAAAGGTCGCTCAAGTGACTGGCTGCTTTGCTTTTCTGATCTTCAAATTGAACTCCAATATTTGTCTCTGACTTTTTATTGTTCGTGCTGCATTCATTTATCTTGTAATAATGATTTTGTAAATGCTTCTCTTTGAAAAATAACTTGTTTGGAAACCAGGCATAGTGGCTCACGCCTTTAATCCAAGCCCTTGAGAGGCAGAGGCAGGCAGATTTCTGGGAGTTTGAGACCAGCCTGGTCTCATACAGAGAGTTCCAGTGGTACATAGAGAAACCCTGTTCCCTCCCAACAACAACAAAGAGCGAAAAGAACAGAAAAAGTAATGTTTTTGTTTTGGAGGGAGTCTGGAGTGCTGGGCCAGTGGTTAAGAGCACTGGTTGCTCTTGCGTAGGGCCCAGTTTGATCCCCAGTTCCCACACTGTGTCTCACAGCCATCGATAACTCCAGTACCAGCGGATCTGACACCCTCTTCTGGCTTCCGGGGCATTGCTTACATGTGTTACACAGATACACATGCAGGCAAAGAAAAAAACATATACACAAAATAATAAAACAAATGTAACATAATTACATTTTAAAAGGTATTTGTTTATTAATCTTGTTCCCTCTGCTTTAGTGTACCTGGGTTCTTAAAGGTGATGTTAATGTAAAAATTTTGTTCTGCTTTTTTGCTGTTTTTTTTATTGGCTAATTCACACACATACATATTTTTTTAAAGATGCAGAGAAAAAAATACTGTACCTGGCTGCAAACAAACCAAACCGACGAGAACCAGTGGATTCTAGTTCATTGTGTACAAGCGCTCTCTTCATTTCCAGTTCTGCCCTTTCTTTACTCCCTAAAGCTTTTAAATTATTTTTTTTCCTCTGAGACGTTATGAAACTTTTTTCTTCATTGTAGCTTATGGAAGCCAATAGCCTTTTTAATAGGCATGACTTTGTCTAGCACTTTTTATCTGCTTTCTTTCTATACTGAATACAACTTAGATAATTCCCCCTCTTTCTTGCACAGGATCTGTGCTGGAGAATGGTGTCTCTGACTTTGAGCCCAAATCTTTGACTCCGCACTCTGTTCCGAATGCCCAGCAGTCCCGGAATGCTGCCAAATCTCTCTCAAGAGCCACCACAGGAGCCCAGGTTTCAAATCTGGGAATGGAGAATGTTCTGTCGTCTTCTACCAATAAAAAGCTAGGTAAATCCAAGGCCCACTTGGGAGAGAAAAAAAAAAAGCAGCTGTTTTGACCAAAGAGAACAGTGTGACTGTTGCTCCTGTGGCTGAAGTTCCAGGGGGCCTCAGGAGACCATTTCTGCCTGTGCTGTAATCCCTGCATGTTACAGTGTCTTGATATAGGAGCATAGCAGCAGGGACCTTTTTGTGAGTTGTGGCCAAATCCTACTGCCAGGATGACCTAGCTAACACTGCCCTGTTCCCTCTGCGTCACTGCAGATGCCTATGCTGTTTCCTTCGTGTTTATTCTGGTTGAATCAACGTGTGAAAGCCTGTGTCTGACAGGACACTCACTGCTCTCTCCAGCTCTGTGCTCTTCCTGAAGTCCAGCAGACGGATGCTCTAACAGGAGCATGTCCTCTGAAATACTTGGTATTGGTTGGTGGTGGTAGTTCTTTACTTTTTTTTTTTTTTTTTTTTTTTTTTTTTTGGTTTTTCGAGGCAGGGTTTCTCTGTGGCTTTGGAGCCTGTCCTGGAATTAGCTCTTGTAGACCAGGCTAGCCTCGAACTCACAGAGATCTGCCTGTCTCTGCCTCCCGAGTGCTGGGATTAAAGGTGTGTGCCACCACTGCCCGGCCCAGTTCTTTCTTAAAATACGACTATTATAATCATTTACTTTTGCTTAGAACATACCTGTAATCCTGGTGCTCGGGAGCCTGAGGAAGGAAGACCACAGCTTCTAGGCTAGCCTGGGCTAAAGCAGTTGACCTCATCTCAACAACAGATAATACTTAGCACTAACTAGTAATAACTCTTGCTGAGCATGCATGCATGTGTGTATTTTGAAGCAGGGTCCCACTGTGTAGCTCTGGTCTTGCCTGGAATTCTCTCTGTAGATCAGGCTTACTTCAGATTTACAGAAATCTGCTTGCCTCTACCTCCTGAGAGCTGGGATCAAAGATATTCATCACCCCATCCAACAAGTCCTGTTTTTCTAAACTTATAATAATCATTTAAATGAACAGTCAGTTATTAAACAGACATATTAGTCCGTCTGTATGTATGTATGTAACGATCCTCTCAAGTGAACAATGAGATAGAAATATAGAGGGCTGTCATAAGTTGTAGCTATTTTTAAAAATATTTTTCCATAAGAGCTACATTTTAAAATTTTTATATTTATTTATTTATTTATTACATTATTTATTTATTTGTTTTCAAGACAGGGTTTCACTGTATAATGGTCCTGGCTGTTCTATAACTTGCTTGTAGGCCAGGCTGGCCTTGAACACACAGAAATCTGCCTGTCTCTGTCTCCTAAGTGCTGGGATTAAAAGTTGTGTGCCACCACCACCACCACCCAGTTGTGTGCCACCACCACCACCCCACCAACACTCACTTGTTTATTCGTTTATTTATTTATTTGTGTGTGTGTGTCTGTGATTTCCTGCCTGCCTACCATATACTCCAAGAAAAACTTTTTTTTTTTTTTTGATTTTTCGAGACAGGGTTTCTCCGTAGCTTTTGGTTCCTGTCCTGGAACTAGCTCTTGTAGACCAGGCTGGCCTCGAACTCACAGAGATCCGCCTGCCTCTGCCTCCCGAGTGCTGGGATTAAAGGCGTGCGCCACCATCGCCCGGCCCAAGAAAAACTTTTGGGAGTCAATTTTGTTTCTCTTTCATAGCATCTCGGGGTCAAATTCAGATTGTCAGGCTTGACAGTGTGGGCCTTTGCCCTCTGAGCCTTTTTGCTAGCTCATGACCTACATTTGGTCAGCACTTCCTTTTCATTTTGGTAGTAGCCCCCAGCTTGCTGCCAAATGGCCAGGGTGAGAATATCCAACCAAGCAAAAATAAAAGTATGCACAGGGATTAAAAACTTAGATAAATTCTAAAGGAAATCAAATTGGAAGGAGGAAAATTTTGTATTGAAAAATGAACTGGATTCTGATGTGGGATTCCCCTCTGTATGTTGTGATTACCATTAATGAATAAAGAAATTGCTTTGGACCTATAGCAGGGCAGAATTTAGCTAGGCGGGGAAAACTAAATACTGGAAGAAAGAAGGAGGAGTCAGAGAAAAGCCATGGAACTGCTGCCAGAGACAGACACGCTAAAACTTTGCTTGTGGGCCATGACCTCGTAGTGATGCAAGATTAATGGAGAAGGGTTAAATTAAGATGTAAGAGTTAGCAAATAAGAAGCTAGAACTAGAGGGCTGGAGAGATGGCTCAGAGGTTAAGAGCATTGCCTGCTCTTCCAAAGGTTCTGAGTTCAATTCCCAGTAACCACATGGTGGCTCACAACCATCTGTAATAAGGTCTGGTGCCCTCTTCTAGTCAGCGGGCATACACACAGACAGAATATTGTATACATAATAGATAAATAAATATTTTTAAAAAAAGCTAGAGCTAATGGGGCAAGCATTGATTTAAATAATATAGTTCCTGGTGATTATTTCGGGGCTGAGCTGCTGAGCAGCCAGGAAGCAACAAGTGGCTCCCTGTAACAGGATTCACTGGCAAAGGCTTTAGTTCCAACTGCTCTAGAGACTGAGGAGTTTATGTTTAGCCTGGATAGTATACTAAGAGTCCATCAAAAAATTGATGCAATTGGAAATGTGGCTACTGGGGAGATGGCTTAGTCAGCAGAGTGTCTGCTGTGCAAGAATGAGGACCTGAGTGTGGAGCCCAGCATAGAAAAGCCAGGCGTGGTCAGGTGCATGAAAAGCCCTGTGCTGTGGAGACAGAAGAGTCTCTGGGCCAACCAGCCTTCCCTGTTGGTGAGCCCTAGGTCCCAGTGAGAGATTCTCTCTCAAAAAGCAAGGTAGGGGGCTAGAGAGATGGCTCAGCAGTTAAGTTGCTTTAGCAGAGGATCAGGGTTCAGTTTCCAGAACCCACATGACCCACATTATAGCTCACACATGGTAAACACATTTTTTTTCATAGCTTCCATCCCACTGTTTATTATAAGTTGGGTAAGCACATATATATGCAGGCTGAAAACTCATACATAAAATAAAAAAGTAAATCTTAAAACATAAAAATAAAAAAGGTGGGTGACTCCTGAGAAATGAAACTCGTGGTTAATCTCTGGCACATACCCCTGCATGCACATACATGTAAAATTAAAAGTGTGTGTAGGCCCATATTGTACACATACATACACAACTATTGATAGTTGCTGTCTAATCCCAGCTCTCAGGAGGAAGAAGTGGGAGGATCATGTCAAGTTCAAGGCTGACCTGGTATACACATGAATTCCAGTGTCAACCATGATTACAGAGACTTGATCTTAGAAAACAGAAATGAGAGACAGGGAAAACAAGAATGCGCATCTTTGTTGGGTAGTGGTGGCGCATGCCTTTAATCTCAGCACTCAGGAAGCAGAAGCAGGCAGATCTCTGAGTTCGGGGCCAGCCTGGTCTATAGAGCGAGTTCCAGGACAGGCCCCCAAAGCCACACAGAGAAACCTTGTCTTGAAAAAAACAAAAACAATAAAACAAAAAAAAAAAGAGTTTCTTTTGTTGGAATTGGAAAAGGTGGTAGTCCATATGATGATGTTTGACTTAACACATTCAGATCCAACTTTTAATTTGCATGTTTCTTTTTAAAGTAATGGCTTGTTTTTTCCCTCCAAGGTTCTAACATTGAGAAATCTGTGAAAGACCTCCAGCGCTGCACCGTGTCTCTTGCGCGGTACCGAGTCGTAGTTAAAGAAGAGATGGATGCATCCATCAAGAAAATGAAGCAAGCGTTTGCTGAGTTGCAGAGCTGGTAAGAGGAGTTGCACTTACACATCATTAGCACGGTGTTCATTTATAAATATGGCCAGCCATTCATGAGCTTCTTTAATTCCCTTCTAGCTACGTGAGGGGATAGCCTAAAAATCCTAACTTTCTGCTTTGTTCAGTTTCTTTTGGCCATAGTATGGGATTGAGTGGTAGAACTCACAGTGCTCTAGAAATGGGCTTAATGGGAATCATTTTCTTGGAAGAGGGAAATAATTATAGAGTAGGGCCAGTCTGTTGAGCCAACAATATGATAAATGACATACTGCTAGATTAAAACTGTAAAGTAGAAAGCCAGGTATGTTTAGCCACCCTGTAATCATAGCACTTGGGAGGCTGAGGCAAGAGGATCACCAGTTTTCAAGCCAGCCTGGCTACAAGCATGACCTTATTTTGAAACAAAAACCAGAACGCATAAGGTAGAGAATATCTGTTTTTTGAATTTTTCATCTTTCTTCTCTCTCTTACCCTAATAATCTCTTCAGTGCCCTATTAACCCTTTATTTACTTTTGGTCTTGTGTTTTACCAGTTGTGTTCTGTACTCATTTCTTAAAATGTGCCAGTTTGTATTCTGTTGGGAAAAGAAGCAGGTTTGGTAAAGATTTGAAAATACTTATGCATGGATGGAGGTCAGAGAGTTGGTGGTCTCTTCCACCTTAGCAAAACTGGTCTCCTGTTTGCCCCTGCAATATACCTGCAGCTGTTCCAGGAGCCTCCAGGAATTGTCTTGTCTCTGCCATGTTACCATAGCAACACTGGGATTATAGAAAGCTGCTACCATGTGCCTGACTTTGTCTGGACTACTCCCTGAGCCATCTCTCAAGTCTTGAGAATAGTTCATGTGTGTGTGTGGAGGGAGAGTGTGGTGCACACATGTGACTGTGTGGACCCATGGGTATGCATGTGCTCCAGTGTCCAGAACAGGGCACTGTGTCATCCTCTGTGACTCTCACTGTTCTGCGAGTTTTCATTTTCTACTAGGTGTCTGGGCAGCCAGCTCTCAGCATTCACCTTCTTCAGTCCTGCACCTAAATGCAGTTACACACATGTTCAGCCATGCTGAGTCTCTTGTGTGGGTGCTGAGATTCAAACTCAGGTCCCAGTGTTGCAGAGAAAGCACTCTTGCCCATTGATCCATCTTCCCAGACTCCAGAAAACACTTCTTAAAAAATGTTTAACCCTGAACCACAGTGTTCCCTGATATTTATTTATTTATTTATTTATTTGATTTTTCAGGACAGGGTTTCTCTGTGTGGCTTTGGAGCCTGTCCTGGAACTTACTCTGTAGACCAGCCTGGCCAGAACTCAAAGAGATCCACCTGCCTCTGCCTCCCGAGTGCTGGGATTAAAGATGTGCACCACCACTGGTGCTTTCTGAATTCTAATCTGCATTGTGAACTAAAAGGGGACGTGTTTGATCATGGAATCTTCCTTGAGGAGAAATTTATGCTGTTATATTAAAGCCATTTTAATTAGATATTAAGGTATTATGTGTTTAAACTTAGCTCTTTTCTGAGCAATTGCATTTTTTTATTTATATATTTTTGATTTTTTTTAAATATTTATTTATTTATTTATTATGTATACAATATTCTGTCTGTGTGTATGTCTGCAGGCCAGAAGAGGGCACCAGACCTCATTACAGATGGTTGTGAGCCACCATGTGGTTGCTGGGAATTGAACTCAGGACCTTTGGAAGAGCAGGCAATGCTCTTAACCACTGAGCCATCTCACAGCCCCCATTGATTTTTTTTATTTTTTTGAGACAGGGTTTCTCTGTAGCTTTTTGGTTCCTGTCCTGAAACTAGCTCTTCTAGACCAGGCTGGCCTTGAACTCACAGAGATCCGCCTGCCTCTACCTCCCGAGTGCTGGGATTAAAGGCGTGCGCCACCACTGCCCCGCTATTTTTGGGTTTTTGAGATTGGGTTTGTCTGTGTATCCCTGGCTGCCCTGGAGCTTGCCCTATAGACCAGGCTGGCCTTGAACTCAGAGATTTTCTTGCCTCTGCTGAGAATAAATGTGTACACCATCACTGCTCAGCTAGGAATTGTAATTTTAAAGGATGCTTTTTAAAAAATGTTTTGAACAAACTTTGCAAAAACGTCAAGAAAAGGCAGGCAGGATGGCTCAACAGGTGCTTGCCTCCAAGCTTGACTACTGGAGTGTGATCCCCAGGGCTCACGTGGCAGAAGAGAATTATCTCTCTAACGCTGTTCCCTGACTCTGCAGGCATGCCATGGCGTGCACCTCCCACCTCCCCTGCCCCACAGATATAAAGATAAATTAGTATATATCATTTTAAAAAGGAAAATGTCAGGAAGACAGCCAGGGGTTACTTAGATGTAGGACTGTGCATTCTGCTTGTGTAAGAACTACATTTATAGTGAGTGGTGCAGAGAGCCCTGCGCATCCCCTTCCTTCTTACTGATGAGCCGTGCTCTTCCCTGAGCTTATGCCTGACCGTATCTCTTTGGTCCCTGTGTGCCACAGCAGATGGAAGGAGCAGGGCAGAGAGGATTGTGATTGTGGGTCCCCTCAGTCCTCCTTGTCTCTGGGATTGAAAAAAAGAGAGTGCGGTAATAAAAATGAAATGACACTTCCAAAACCTTGTCCTTACAACCAAGACGTACTTGCGTGTTTGTGTGAGGGGTGTTTTAAGAGAGGGTTTTTTTTTTTTTTTTATGTAGTCCAGGCTGGCTTTGAACCTGTGCCACTTGCCCAGCTCCAAAAAAGTACTGTTTAAGACAGCTTGTTCACCTTGTAGTCTGACCTCGCCCTGGAGCCCCCGTTTCTACCTTTCAGTTTTGTAGCTATAACATGATGTCGTCTCTTTTTTGATGTACATCTTTGCTCCTGCCAAATTACTCATTGCAAACTTAGATTTCCTCTTTCCTCCGAGTTAGTGCCACCTTCCCCATTTGATGCATTCTTCTGTGGCTGTCTGGAGTGAAGTGCCCTTGTTCTGAACACGTAGAAGGGTGACATGCCATGTCTTCCATAGAGATTCTTAACATTTGATTGGCATATTTGGAAAAGCAGCTTTGCTTTGGTAGGTCTCTAGTCTCTTAAGATCATTCAACTTACTGCTTACTCGGCTACAGGACCCGATTCCATTCAGGAAACACACTTCTGAGAGAGATTTGTAAGTTCCTGCTGTCTTGGAGCCCAGCCAGGGGGGACCTCTTTGAGTAAGGACAGGTGAAATGGTTTCTTCCCTGGGAACTGTGTGATCAATAGATCAGCAGGCTAACAACCAGGTCAGTTGAGCTTGAAGGTCAGAAACTTCCTGCCCTTTTCTGCTGATGCCTTCTCAGGCTTTTGGGGCTCTAAAAGCTGCCTTCTTCCGAGCATCTTGTAGTTATTACTATAAGACGTAATGGACAAGCAAGCTAACTTCATTTGGCACCAAACAGCTTGGAATTAATGCTGAAAGTCATGTTTGTGTTTGTTATAATAGCAAAGAAAAACAAAGATTTTGTTTTTATTTTTTATTTATTTTTTTTTTTTATTAATTTATTATGTATGTATCCCTGCATGACAGAAGAGGGCACCAGACCTCATTACAGATGGTTGTGAGCCACCATGTGGTTGCTGGGAACTGAACTCAGGACCTTTGGAAGAGCAGGCAGTGCTCTTAACCTCTGAGCCATCTCTCCAGCCCCCAAGATTTTGTTTTTAAAGACAGGGTTTCTCTGTAACTTTAGAACTTATCCCGGAACTAGCTCTTGTAGACCAGGCTGGTTCTGAACTCACAGAGATCCACCTGTCTCTACCTCCCGGGTGCTAGGATTAAGGGTGTGCACCACCACCACTTGGCTTTTTTTTAAAAAACAAAACAACAAAAAAAAAAACCAAAGAATTTTTAACAGATTTGCAACAATAAGATTGATTATAAAAGGTGGTGGTGGCACACGCCTTTAATGCCAGCACTCAGGAGACAGAGACAAGCAGATCTCTGTGAGTTCAGGGCCAGCGTGGCCTGTGGAGTGAGTTCCAGGACAGCCAGGTATTTAAACTTAAAATCTATCCTTATTTAAGATGACTTAGTAATAACAATTTCTAGACCCAGGTTTACTTTTCTTGTTGATCTATAAAACTTACAGTGTGAGATTAGTTACTTGGCTTAAGCTGAAGACTATTAACGAAACAGGATTTGAAGTAAATGCATCCTGAAAGGTGGTGTGTAGTAGAAGATTGTCATTCAAGGTGTGCCTGCAAAAAGCCTACAGAAAATATGCTAGCATTTCTATTTGAATAAAAATAGTGTTTTAGTTTTATGAAACACCCACATTAAAAAGCTCTCTTAACTATCTGTGAAAATTACTGCTAGGGTGCTGGCCTCGTCTCCTGTCACTGTAACAAACACTGACCAAAACCAAGATGAGAGAAAGTCTGTGTGCTTTATTTGCCTGAGAGAAGTCAGCGCATGAACTGAAGTACCACCCTTCTTATACAACCCTGGACTACCTGCCCGGGGCATACAGTCCGCAGTGGGCTCAACCTCCCCATTATCAGCAACCAAGAAAATGCTTCAGCTGTATCTACAGCAGTTGGAGAGGGGCAGTTCCTCAGCTGAGATTCCTTCCTTCTGGGTAGCACGCTGACAACACTAACTAGCACAAATATCTTACTAAACGTGCTTGGATAGATTGCCTGATATATTTATCCCAACTTCTTTCCTACTAAGTAGTTTTCTTTTTTATAGTAAAAAAGGACTTTTTGTTCTGAGCACAGGAGAATGAATAAACTCCAGGAAGGTCAGTGCTAGGGGTGTGGAGGTTTAAAGAACACAAGAAATGTCATTTATTCTCTGCTATAAAACTGTTGGGGGCTAGAAAGGCAATTCAGCAGCTAAGAGCACTTGTTGCTTTCCCAGAGGATCCAGGGTCAGTTCACAGCACCCATCAGATGATGCTATACTGGATTCATCCATTAATCATCTGTGATAACATCCCAGGGGACTCTAAGCCCTCTTGTGGCCTCC